TTTCTAACGAACTCTTCGGTGATTTAATCTGTTTCTCGATTACTCTTAAGCTTTGGTTTAATAGTTTCGCCGAATAGACCATAAACTCGGATGAGTTGAAGTCAGTTGTGAATAATTGCAAGTATTTTATAACTGAAGTTTCGATTGAATTCAATGTATTGAATGAAAGATTTTCTTTCACGTCATCCACAGCTCTTAACAACTGTTCCATCGATGAGTGCCACTCTTGTTCTGATTCAATGCAAGTTCGCTTCCATTTGTCAAATATTATTAACAAAATATCGGCAAATATTGTGATTAGATTGTTATCAATATTCGATGTTTTCTGGAGTTGTTTTAACAGACAATCGATTATATCTTCACTTATTTTACTTTTTGATTCTTTGGTGATATTGAAGGGATCAAACTGTTTGTAAATTAAAATAATTATTAATTAAGAAATACAACTGAAATAATAATAATAACGAAAATGACTGACTCTAGCGATGGAAATGAGAAAGTCTTTCCACGCACTCAACAGGTCAGCTCTCAAAAGACCTTAGTTAAGGTACCTGTGCTTCTACACTACCTACACAACGCTATTGAGAAAGTCAGCTAGCCAAAGGAAGTTTTAGAATTTGAACAAAAGGTTTAGCGTTAGTTTAAATACTCTAAATAAATTCACACATAATTTACTCTCAAGTGCTCAAAACAATTAGCGAACAAACCTTTCGAGAGTCTTCACGTAAAACACTTCTCGGGCTAAGATTCTTAAGATATAAACGCAGAGAATGTCATCAAAATCTGAGCCCTCGAACAACGGGAATGTGATGAGCGTCCAGACATTACTGGTCTTTTTGAGTGAGTCAATGGCGAGGAGGTGTGGGCCCACCCAAAAGGTGTATAAGAACTTGAGTGAAGCCAAATGCAACTCAAACGGATAGGTATACTTGGCATCCCTTTTCTCAGATAATATTTCCAACACAGTCTGTAAACAGCCGGCAGTACTGATGGTCTCGTTGGTGTTGTCCATCTGGTTGTCCACATTTAGGAACATTTCCATTAATCCGGGCTGTCTTTCCACACACGACGACAAGAAGTTCAATAAAGCGATCTTAAAGTTGAGATCTTCGGTCACTTGATCCAAACGGAAGAGGAAGTGTTCGCGCATAGCCTCGGCGTCAGAGCCCAGGCACGCGAGCATTGACATCGGGAACCGTTTGGCCAGTTGTCGCAACAACTGTACGGCCAAAGTGGCCAAACGAGTGTCGTATCGTTGGAGCACATAATGGGAGAGAATGAGTAACATATTTGGCTTACTTTGTGTCGAGAATAATGCAGTTTCGATGTCATTGAAACTCTTGTTTGAATTGGTGTTCAAAACCAACAAATAGTCCAAAATAGAGAGCGAGTGGCGGACTATAACTAATTGGTCGTCGTTTGTCAGAGAGTTATCATTACCGGCGCTCATAATCACAGTCCGGACACTCGCTTCTCCGCCTTTAATCACATTTAAAAGAGTTTGAGACGCGTTTCCAACCATTAGAGCACTCGTACATAACTGTCCGATGCGAGAGGGCTTTGAGTTCTTATCAGTTTTGGACAAAATGGTCTCAAAAATGTCGAAACAAAGTCTTCCGATTTTGAAGAACTCGTTTTGATGCGAAAAATTCCAGAAGTAATGGGACGGAAATATCTCTTTAATTATGAATACGAGGGAAGCCATCAAATTATTGTCATCTTTTAGGTCGCATTTGTTGACCACTTCTGAAACGAGTCGGAGGAATGCAATGCATAACTCATATCGACCTCTTGTGCACTCTTCGGAAGCAATTAATTGTCCCAAAACTGAAGTGTTTGTATCGTTTCCAGACATCACTTCATTTAAATCAGTTGTCAGACCAATCATATACGGCATAAACGACTTCCCAGTGATTTGATGCCAAAGAGATGTGACGTTTGAGGTATAATCCGATGCTATTATAGATGCGGACAACTCAAGAATGGATGCCATCAAAAGTCGCGGAGGATTCTCAAGACTTGAGAACAAGTCATATGTTTCTAAACACAAATTGATGAGTGGATTGAAGGCAGAGATATGTTGAGTGCATTTGCTTCTTATAAGGTTAGAACAGATGCGAGTGATTTGACTCATTTCAGTGATGGCTATTTCAGACACAGCGTGGACTTGTCCTCTACTCACGAGTTCGTATTGCTCTTTGAAACGATGGTAAATCAGTTTCCATCCGTCAATATTAGTGTCAAACCACTCAATGGCTCGACTATTGTTCACAATCTTAAGTAAACCTTTTGTGTCTTTTCTGACAACGAGTTCCGTATTTCTGAATAACATTTTATCTCTTAATAGACAATATATGGAGTCCTCCTCTGTTGGCACACATGTCGACAGCGATGAGTCAAACTGTTCCGTAAAAGATGTCAAATTAGACAAAATGGAGAGCTTTTCAAATATTTGTTTGCAATAATCGGTTTCAGAGAGTGATTGACAGAAACTAAGCACTGGATTGGCTTTGAGGGGAAAGTTGTGGAGAGCGGCGCTCACTATTAACCCCAACCCGGAGTCCAATCCATTGGCAAACAAATCATTGGCAATATAACTGTTTTTGAATAATTTGATGCATAACTGGTTAAGGGCTGGAACTGAATGTCTTAACATTTCTATATTAAACACATTGAATGTAACGAATAGTAAATCACTGATCGCTCGATATATTAGATCAAAAACAACGGTTCCTTTTAGTGCCAAAACTTGTGGTAAATTAAGACACTTTTCGATGTAACCAAAGACATTAAGCTGTAATGCGTTGGCGCCCATTAACGAGACCACTTCAGTGTTGGACATCAGTTGTGGATCAGATAACTCCCAACTCATGACAATCATCCACGACATGAATATCGGCGAGTGTTCGACAGTCACTGAGTTTAGATTCACAACCAATTCATTCAATCTCTTCAGTTGCTTAAGGTTTTCGGCTTTCATTAGAAGGCATTCGATGTCCTTCTCTTGACATTCATATATCCATTTCAAGTCCAAACTCTCGACGATCACCAGTGACTGCAAGAAACCGATGAATTTGAACACTTCTTCGCCGATGTGCTCGCAATCACTTCTACTGAAGTGTTTGAACTTTAAGCCGAAGCCGTTGGACTC